CCAGAGCAATTGAAAATGCAGCTCTGTGGTTAATTTAAAATATGCATTAACAGTATGAGGCATTAAAAAAATTAAAGTATTAATTGAAATCTGTGTTTGAATCCTGGTAATAACATTTTAAATTACTTATCTGATTTTGTTCTTTTCACACTGACTTCGTAGTATGACTCCTGGATGATGACTAAGATAAACTGCATCTTCAGGATACTTTTTTTCTGGTTTGGAGGTTCATTGCAGCTCTATGTGGAAATCAAGAAACATTCCTTCTCTGTGGTTTTGTGCTGATGGCCAGCTGATTTATCTTATTGTGTTTTACAGTGGCTTGATGGTAGGTTAATAAGGATTGTTTTATTAAATGAGGAAGTCCCTGCAGGAACTTTGTGAAATTTTTAAAGCAGTTTTTTCATCAGGCACTTGACTACGAGTTTTTCAGAACAGAAAACTAGTCGATCTTGGATCAGTCTGTGAACACAAACATTCACAGTAACAGAGATTAATACAAAGTGCAGACTCCCTCTTTATGCATTTAATTGACAAAAGGATGTCAGAGTATAGAATTTTGAGTATCTATTAAGAAGTGTTTGAGAAATGAGGTCTTACTGTGGTGAATGAATGTTATTTAACATTTGTGTTTGTTTGAAATTTTATTTTAAATCAATGATAAATTTTCTGTCCAAATCAAAAAATGGAAAATTTTTCATTGCTGCAGATCTTAAACCTCAGGTTTCTTGCCTATGTTTTCTAGAAACTTTCTGTGAAATGCAGGCTGGTATTGGTTTTACCTCAGATATACACATCTAATGTTATTTTGACACTATAAAGGAGCAGGCTTAGAAAAGCTTACTCCATTTCTAATGGTCTCATAGTGAAAGCTTTTTATTGCTATGAATTTGGCTAAAAGTAATTTTAAAGAATTTTAGATAGCTAAAAAAAAAATAATTAATTAACTACTTAACATATTATCTTGTGAATAGTATGCTTTTCAAGATGATAACGAGCTAAGAAGTGCCTATTTTTCAGAGTTGACAGTTGTCCAAGCAGAGCAACTGCAACAAAAAGTTGCAGGTTATTTCCTCTACCTTCAGATATTTTTAAGGGAGGCTGCCAGCAGTTTAGCAATATGTACTGTGGAGATTCTAATCTGCCATCATTATGAAAAGGGTACACTGATTTTATGGTACAAACTGCATCTCTTGTAGACTATTCACTACCCTTTACAGGTCTGCCAAGCCCACTCTGCAATTGGTTGCCAGGGGCTGCAGATGTTGGAAAAGAGAAATTTCAGCGAAAGGCCCTGATTCAGCAACCCAAGCAGCCTGCCTCCCCCAGCCAGAGTAATCAGATTGGCAGCTGAATCAAAGTGTACAGTGAAACCTTTGTTTGGGAGCTCCAGAGGTTAGTAATTGACAGAAGGGCAACAAAGATTTGTGAAGAAAAGAATATTAGAGGGTATTAGGCTGAGGAGAGAGGGTTTAGGAGTTTTATGTTATTAGAAGAAAGTCAGAAGCTGAGCCACAGGTTATAGCCATAGGAAGCAAAGGTTGCATATTGCTGTTTTAAGTCTGAAAATATTTTCAGCTCCAGAAAAAAAGTTTATTGGCGAGTGGAAGGAATGGCTGGAAAAAATCCGCAGTTGCCCTTATTATAGCTATCTGCAATTGCTAGCGTTGAAGGATTTGTTTGCAAGCTTTCAGATTAAACATACAATCGTAGAGGGATTAGTTCTTAAGAAAGATATTAAGATGTCCGATTTCACCCTGGGACAAGAAGTATTAGCTGTTATCTGTGCAGTATCATATGCAATAGATACTTGTCTAATCTACTGTCCTTGAGAATTTCATTTACTGAGGCCTATGTGTTTTGAAGAATGCTAGCTCTCGGTGTATGCCAAATCTCCTGCAGCCTAAGCATGTGTAGTAGTCATTCATTTGTTCTTTTTGTTGGTCATGTTTCGTAGACTGTCCTTATGGAACTAGCTGTAGTTTTTCAGTTTGACCGACATCCATCTTGAATTGCAATACAAAAAACTGGAGAAAGAACTCCGGGGCTTTATTAGCGCTGAGTAGACTAGAAGGATTACTACTATTTATGTGTCCCAGTATGATGTTTATTTTCAGTAAATTGAGGTTGTTTACTTACATTCAGTTCTAATCCATGTAAGCCATTTAAATGTTGACTTCTATATTGGTTGTTACACATCTCCTGCTTATTTTGAATGCATAAAAATAATGTTCCATTATTTTTCCTGGAATTAAAGTTAAATAGGTGGGTCTATAATTTCTGTCCTAAAAGCATGCTGAAGTGACAGATCTGTTTTGTATTCATTATTTGTAAAGTATACAAATTATTTCCTATTTTAGTCTTGCTTAGTTATGTAGACTATGGTCTGCAAATTGTTCTTTGGTAAAGCACATCTAGAGTGTTTTTTCTAGACATATCAAGAACAAAAGCATATCAAGCACAAGAGCGAATAACACAAAGCTATTATTGAAACATTTTTGTATTAGCAAATGTTTTTGTTTCTTTGCATCTTTGCTTTGAAAAGCTTAATTAAGAGATATGGGTTTGGGAAGGAGGGAATACAGAGGAAGAAATTTCTGTGCTCATTTATCTGAACATCCAAAGCTTTTTTACTTTTGTGAATCCCAGTAAATGACTGAAGAAACTGAAGCAATTATTTTAAATTTGAACCTTGGTATTAAAGCAGAAGTGCCACTCAGACTTTGGGCAGTTTGGAGTCTGGAGGTCTGAGTGTTAAGCAACCAAGTGTCCCTAAGAATGGACTTCTACAAATGATGTTTCAACCTATGGATAATGGTGGATTATTATCAATGGAGCAAGCCAAATGGCAAGCTTGTGGACCAAAATAACACTTGCTTTTCCTACCCTTCTTTTTACTCCAATGTCTCATCTTGCATTGAGTGCAATGTCAGCGAATTTGCTGATGACAGCAAAACAGCAAACGTGGTGACGTCAACACACTACAGGGAAGGGATGCCATCCAGAGGGACCTTGACAGGCTTAAGAGGTGAGCTAGTGCAGACTGTGTGAAGCTCAAGAAAGCCAAGTGCAAGGTTCTGCACCTGGGCCAGGGCAATCCCATCCATAAATGCAGCTTGAGTGGAGAATGGATCAATAACAGTCTGGAGGAGAAGGACTTGGGAGTGATGGTGGACGAGAAGCTCAACATGAGCCAGCAACGTGCACTTGCAGCCCAGAAAGTCAACTGTGTTGTGGTCTGCATCAAAAGAAGCATGGCCGGCAGGTCAAGGGAGGTGATTCTGCCCCTCTGCTCTCATGAGACCCCACCTAAAGTACTGTGTCTAGTTCTGGAGCCTCCAACATAAGAAGGACATGGAGCTGTTGGACCGAATTCAGAGGAGGAGCACAAAGAGGATCAGAAGGCTGGAGCACCTCTCCTACAAAGACAGGCTGAGAGATTTGGGCTTGTTCAGCCTGGAGAACAGAGGGCTTTGGGAAGAGCTTAAAAATGGTCTTCCAGTACCTGTAGGGGGCCATCATCCCAGATGATGAGTATCATTTCTGTTGGGCAGTGCTGAGAATGGCAGATTACATCTCCCCAAGCCTTAATTGTTCAAATTTGAAAGAAAGTATCTTACCAGATATACAGCATGGTCTTCAGCATCACTTTAATTCCAGTGTCTGGGAATGAGCACACAGCTGAAGTCAAATCATTATTGCTGCCAGGCTAGAAAGCTCAAGCAGTGAGAGATCAAGAGAGAGAGATGGAGTAGTGATAAGGTGGCAGTACTGTGACAAGTTCTGTGACTAAGACACAGCCTGAGGCAGAGGATATGTATTTAATTTCTGTTTTTAAAATTTTCTGTTCTCAAATAATGAGTAAAAGCATAAAGGAAAAATAAAAAATAATGACAGTTCTGATTCTCTTCTTCTTTGATAATGTGGTAGAAGATAAGGATGTGATTATTACCTTTCATTGCTGTTAAATTACAGAGAGTTGTTGTAGGGTTTAGTCTGAAGGAAAGGGAGATGACAAAAGGAAGAGGCAGAACCTTTTCTCTACTTTCATTTTACCCAAAATATTTCCATGTGCACCCCTTACAAATCTACAACAAAAAAACCTGATCTTTTACTATAGATCCTGATGAACTTAGATTTGTGTGTTCTTTTGGAGTTCTGCTAAGGTGGTAAGGAATTTCAGTGACTGAATGTAAATTAGAAAATACAAAAAATATAGGGGATGTCATTTGAGAAGTTGTTTTAGTGAAAGTGTCCCTATAGCTTGGTCTGATTTAAAAGTTCAGCTCTGTTCCTCACAGCATCATATTTCCAAAAGGGAGATTAGGCAGGTGAATCCCTGTTTTATATAATGGTCATGATTTTTTAAGACCTGTGAAAGCAGAGGAACATGGAATTATTGTCCACTTCCTACAGCAGCTGTTGCCTAAACATTGTTTCTAGCTTGTTGTAATGTGTTAAACACAAACAAGGAGGGCACACAGAAAAATGTCTGTCTGTTTCATCACCCTTTGGGATATTTGGCAAATGGTTATTCTATTTTCATTTCTGGGAGATATTCTCCAGGGATGTGGCTGAGAACAGGCTAAGAAAGTCAGCAGAGGTAATGAATTTGACATCCAGAAATAGAATCTGAATTACTGTAATGTAATTTGAAAAGCAAACTTTTCCAGTGCCATTTTGTAACAGATTGTTAATAAACCTCGAGTATTTGCTGGTTCATCACTGTGTGAATTTCACTCTGGTAAGAACTGAAAAGTAGTTTTTAATGCTGTTAGTATTTGCCAAGCACAAGGTCAGTTCACAGGGTAAATGGTTGTAAAGTTTTCTAATCTGCAAAGGATAAATCCTGACCTTGTTAGTAGGTGTTTCCTGTCTGCTGCTCTGGAACCGGGATCTGGACTGAATGAGTTTACTGAACTCACTGTTGTAACACTATTTAAGAGAAAGATTAACTCAGAACCTCAATTCAACATTTATTTTAATTTCCTCTAGGTGAAATGGAAATTCCAGATTCAAATGACCCCTTAGGTCATGCAGATGGACTTGAGAGACCAATTCCAACACCTAAAGGTAAAATTAATTGTAGTTACTTTTTATTTGCTCCACCCAAATATAAGCATACTTTAGAGAGGACCAGAAGAATCCTGTTATTATATGTTTATTTGATTTACTTGTAAATACAAGTCAATAGGAAAGGCAGCTTTGTGTGACTTAATAGTTCTGATTCTAAGAGATAGCGAAGTTACAGGACTATTCAAAAAGTAATTTTAAAACATGTTCAGTCCCCTCCACACTGAGGGATTAAGTGTTTCACCCAACCACAGTAGGCTGTTATTATCTCCCTAGCATATTTTCTGTCATGTTGGTGCCATGAAAATGATTTAATTTTGTACAATGCCACACTTGGTATCGATAAGTACATCTTAAGTCTTAGTATCTCTAACTATCTTTGGTTTGAGATAATTCAATCTAGCCCCTGGCAACACAGGAATACTTCTTTTTAAGTGATTCTGAGTATTAGTCACTAAAAAACCCCAACATAACAGAAGAGATTGTAATGGCAGAATTTTTAGTAATTTCTTTATCGTATGTTCTTATAATACTTTATTGCCTGAATTCTGGATCCAAAGGCTGTTCTGGGATCTGGAAATGTATATATTTATTGGAAGTTGTAATTCTAATCATAATGTGGTGCAGCTTCCCAAAGCAAGACCTTTTCAGTGTTCCAACTGAAAAAATGTTTTTTCTCACTTGTAGTACAGATTCTTTTCCTTGTATTGATGCACTGCTGAAGTGAAGTCAACCTTTGTGCTTAGAAAACATCTCCAGATAATCTTGGTAGCATGAAGAGCTCATCCTGATTTCTGCCTAATTTTTAGTGTTCTCAAGAAGATGAGCACACAAAGCTTACGAAGCTCTGAGGTGGTGGTCAGATGTTCTTCTTGGAGCTTGTCTTTCAGAGGAGCATAAATTTTGAGAGTACCTTGGAATATAGTCTCTGTTCTCATAGATACCCAGTGTAATGTAATCCTTAATGTGCTTCACTTGGAATGCTAGTTAGTTTTCTTAACTTGACTAGGTTCATTAGAAGCTTTTTTTCAGAATCTACCACTAATTTCCATCCTTAGTTGGATAAAAGCAGATGTGTTTTTGTTTGCAAATCTTTACCAGATTCTTACTGATCATGAGTATGGGACTGTGTCCCTCTTTGGGAGGAAGACTTGATGTGTTCCTTAGCCCTTTCCCACTTCCTGAAGCTCTCAAACAGTTTTAGAAAATTCAACTGTGTCCTTCATTATGGGAATAAATTTCAGCAACAGTCATTTCTGCCAGGAGCACTGTGTGCTACAGTTGTTTTATCCACTCTGCACTCACATACATACCTGTCATTTTCGATGGGAAGAGGTCCATGTTTAATTTTTAACTGCATCTGACAGCCTTGTTTACTTGTCAATTACTTTACTTTTTTGTTGTTTCTGAGCTTTTAAGACATAAAATAAAATGTTTTTTCATGTGACATTACTTGGTTAAATTCTTGCTGAGAAAGAAGTTGCAGTTATTTCCTTTTTTTGCAGGGCCACAGGCAATACCTGTCTAAGGAAGTGATTAATCACATCTGAAACATTTCTGCATCATAAGGAGTTTGTATTTCCTTCAGGAAAAAAAAAAAAGGGGGGGGGGGGAAGGGGAAGAGGCCCTTGTTCTTGTAAGGCTCATTGGTATTAGGATTGGCTGTTAGTTTCCAGCATGTCTGTTCTGGAAATGGCCTCATTGGCTAAAAATTTCATGGCTAAAAAATTCTCCAAATAAGCAAAAATCCCTTTCTTGGCTTTTTTTTTTTGTTTGTTTTGGTTTTGTTTTGTTTTTTTGTATGTTTTGTTCTGCTTTGTTTTCTTTCTTTGGTTGAAATGTTAACCCATGTGTTTCTGTATGATAACGAGGTAGCAGGGGTTTTTTTTAAACTCATTGGACAATTCCACTTCACAGTTTGTGCATACCCTTGAGACCATTAGAAAGAGACCTTCAGTTTCTTCCATGACACCAACTTGCTTTTCTTCCTTGAGAAATGATTAGTTATTCTGATTTGTTTATGACCTCTTAGTTTCTTTCTGATCATAGAATGGACACAAAAGAGGAATGAAAACAACAGTAAATAGGCTTTAATAATGCCCCATGTAAGAGCCACTTTAGAACTACTAAGTGTATAGGTCACTGTCTTCTCTAAATCTTCTCCAAGTCCTGAAAAATGGTCCTGTCTCCAAAGAAGTAACAGGTTAAGCAAGGTAATAATAATATGCACTTTTTAAAAGCTGGTAGGCCCTCCTTGCAAGAGAAGCTAGCATTCAGATAGTTGGTTGTATGGACCATGACTCAGCTAAGGCTTTGAGGAGTATTTGTCTTTCTCTGTTTCTTTGAAGTGAGCACCTGAACCACCAGAAAAACACTTCATCTGTACAATGTTTTACTGAAAACCAGAGCAGAACAGTGAGCATTTGTTGTGGAAGATCGTATATCTGGTTTGTAATAAAAATAAAAGGATTTGAACACAAACACGTAGCCCAGTGACTCTTTGCGAAGATGATCCTTTCCCCAATCTCTGTATCAATTGAGTGTCTCCTGGTGGCTTTCCATTTTGCAACAAACACTAACAAGCTCTCTCTGGTTCCTAATCTTTCCCTTGCTCAAGAGATAAAAGTATGTCAGCTCCATCCTTCTCTCTGGAAACACCCAGGCTCACTGCGTGCTGAGTCTTGCTCTGCTTTATGTCAACCATCCTGTACTTCGCAAGCTCTTCCTGTCAGGGATCTTGGGGAAGTAGCGAAGTTCCCTCTCTCTCACTGCAGTATAGGATCAGCCAGGACAATGTCGACAGGAAGTTTCACTTTCTGAAGCCCAGAGCAGAAAAAGAACGTATCTGTTAATCACAAATAAATGCAAGAGTTGTGGCACAAGCTGAAAACAGTCCTCATCATGGAGTGGGCTCACTGCTTACATTTTAATGCTCTTAAAATAAGCTTGGGGAAGGTATTAAAGGATAAAATATGAACCCTTAAAGCATAGTTGAGATGCCAGTGGAATCTTACATCATAATTAATATCTGATGGAACTTTTAGAGCAATACAATATAATAATTAAATAAATGCATGGGCAAGGGCAGCCTGCAATAGCTGAGACAGAGTGAACTGGTTTACTCCAGGAGAAATTATGACCTTAACTGTGGTTTCTGCACAAGTTTTTCTGGGAACTTATTCTGGTTCAGGAGGTGTTTCCCAGTGTATTTTCACCCCTGGTTTACTTGTGTAAAGATTCCCTTTGCTGGACTCCCACCACCTGCTAACATGTGATGGTGTGATCTATGCCCCATTTGGGATCAATGGTATCTTCCTCAAGTCTTTACTTGTTACTAATCAGTCATTGCATAAGCTAAAATTTCCTAGATGAATATTTGTGTCTTACAGGAAATAATGAATTTGCTTCTAATGGAAATATCATTAGACTGATTGCTTAAAATGGTTTCCCAAAAAATCTTCTGTGTTTAAAGTTATATTAGGTTTAAAACATCATTACAGAGGCTTGTCATTTGAAAGAATTGTGTTGAGAGATACCATGCTTTTGTAGTTCTATCACAAAAAAAAAAAAAAAAATGAACAAAAAGTTATTTGAAAACAAAGAAAAACTGCTGGAGATGGACAAAGACAGAAAAAGCAGAGGGCTGAGGAGAAAAAAACCCACACTGCTTTTTAAACAAATCATAATATTTGTATTTTTAGTTGTCTTGAATATTGGAAAATCGTATAGTATTAATCTGAAAATGTTCTAAGTTGTATACAGTTATGCAGACAAAAATATTTGTTTTGGTTTGGTTTTGGTTTTGTTTTGTTTTGTTTTGATTTTTAAGAACTAATTTTTACCTTTGAGTATCTAAACCAAACACAGTTTGGAGTTCTGATGTGTTCTGTAATACTTAAAAGGTGGGTTTATGGGCTTTTCCTTTCTTTTTCTCAGAAATTGGACATTCAGTGCTTGCTTCCCATGTGCAATGCAGAATGTCCCACAAAAAATGGATTATTATCTCATCAGATATCCTCATTTTCTCCGGAACACACATAAGGTTTGAGACAATAACTTGGACATCCAAGTGCTAGGATAATATGAATAAAACTATGAAAAATAATATCCACGTGAGCTTTTGGTGATAGCTGCACTTCTTATGTTTTTGGCTTAGTATCTATTCTTGTGCATATGTTGACAATGATTTGACACATGCAAGAAAAGTTTATTTTTATATTCTTGCCAAAACATAAAAAGTAGACCTGTCATCTTAATTCTGATTTGCTGTGGAATTCTATTTGATATATTTATATCTCATTTCCTCCATTTTAAAATAAGAAATATTGGCAACCTAACAAAGGCATTTAAAAATATGAAAAGGTTTTGCCAGAATCCATGTCAGTCATTTCCCTATGCTACTTTGTCCAAAGGGTACATAAAGTATGATAGTATAATGTAACATACAGATTGAATTGCATTGTCCTCTCACAGCTTCTTAATGGAACAGTTCTTATTCTGTTCAAACAAAATATATGCTAATATTAGTTGTACAGTATGTTAGAAATAATAAAAGAAAAATTTATTTTAGAGTCTTCACTTAAAGCACATGCTGAAATATCTACCAGGTAACTTTCCCTTTGAAGTACTTTAAGCCAAGCCATACACCCCTGAAGGCAAAGGAAGCATTTTCCTTCATTTCAATGACCCATGGAACCATGCCAGAGTATAGAAAGTAGTATATAACAATACTATTTGTGTAACACTAAAAATTGCAGGTAGCCAAGAAAGCCAATGGCATCCTGGCCTGTATTAGAAATAGTGTGACCAGCAGAAGTAGAGAGCTGACTGTCCTCCTGTACTGGGGGGCACTGGTGAGGCCACCCCTGGAGTATTGTGTCCAGTTTTGGGCACCTCCATTCAAGAGAGATATCGAGGTGCTGGAGCGAGTACAGAGGGCAATGAAGCTGGTGAAGAGCCTAGAGAATAAATCTTATGAAGAATGCTTGAAAGAGCTGGGA